ACTGAGACCTGATGTTGTTCTTAGTTGTTTCATCTCTAATCTTTAAGTTTTGGGAAGTAAATTAATATTTTCTTTAACTGTATGTTTTGGATTATTTAAAATTCATGATTTACCTTCCTGAAGACTTTTTCTACTAAAGGTGGCGTTCATGAAACCTTCCTCAAACATCTTCATTATCGTCACTTTACACTGATCTACTGACCAATCGAATCACACGTGTGCCTGCAGGTATGACCACGGTGCTCACCATGTCCACCATCATCACCGGAGTGTCCTCCTCCATGCCTCAGGTAACTGCCGGGTTTGTCGCACCCTCTGATAAATTTCTCTTTTCCTAACTCCTTCAAATGCTTCTTTGACTTTCATGATGTTTTCTATCCAGGTGTCCTATGTGAAAGCGGTGGACATCTACCTGTGGACCAGCTTCCTGTTTGTCTTCCTGTCCGTCATCGAGTACGCGGCGGTGAACTACTGCACCACTCTGGAGGAGATGAGGAAGATGAAGAGGGGGAAGGTCAGGACTCAGAGGGCGATTATTACTTTACTGACAGAACAGAGGAGGAATCATGTGAGGGATAAATCAGCCAAACTCATACTGTGCCCCACATCTCTCTCTAGTGATTAAATGCAGGTATTACACCAGGAGCGCTTCTGTGCATGAACGATACAAAACTATGTAGAGCACAGTGGCCTCACAGCAGAGAAGGTCCCCGGTTCGAATCCCAGCAGGGCCGGTGTGTTTCTGTGAGTTTACCTGTCCGCTCTGTGTTTGCATACGTTTCTCCAGCTTCCTCCTTCAGACCAAAGACATGCAGAATGCACTTAGTTCCTCTGGAGACTGTAAATTAACATTAGGTGCGGACGTGAGTGAGAACGCTCGTTTGTCTCTGTACGTTCGGGCCTGTGACGGACTGGCAACCTGTCCAGGGTGTCCCCCGTCTCCAGCTCCCCCTGTGACCCACAGAAGACGAGCGCTATAGATAGTTGATGGATGGAAACCTTCTCCAGCATGTTCCTCGCCTCTCAGTTCTTTCTTTACCTTTTCAGATCCCATCCACCTTCAACGCCAGCCAGGCGATGGCCTTCGACGGCTGCTTCCACGACAATGACATTGAGCTGACCCCGTTCCCCCGGATGACGCCCACCCTGACCTCTGACCCTCTCACCGCTCCAACCCAAACCCCAGACATCCGCCCCACGGGGGGGACTCGCCTCCACCGGCAGCGATCGGTGCGGCAAAACATGGACCTGCTGGTCAGCAACAGCTACATGATCGACTCGTACTCCCGTCTGGCCTTCCCTCTGTCCTACCTGCTCTTCAACACCATCTACTGGAGCCTGTACTCCTGACGCCCGAACACTCGCCGCTGACTCCAGGTGTCAGACCGCAGGACTCATCGCATCCAGCTCCTGCTTCACTCATCACACTCATTGCAAAAGAGATTCACATGCAAGGACTCGAGTCCCTCAGTCTGTAGGAACCATTTTTAAAAAATAATCTGTACATGTGGCTGTTTCTTCTGTGCATCATTTTACTAATTATATTCAGAAGCTCTTTTCCTCATGGTTATTAGACTTATGTTGAATTTCTTAGCTACAGGGAAAAACTAATGTTTGTGAACATGTGCTTTTTTTGAAAATATAATTTCCCCTTTAATGAGTGATGTGTGGATGTATGTGTATTTCATACGTGAATACATTTTTATCTTGTTTATGAGGCTGTGAAACTTTATTATGTCTACTGAACCAGTGACATCACGGCCACTGGTGTTGCTGCTCTTCTTACACAACGAACACATTTTATTTTTTAGTGTTATTGATATATCAGGGATATTTTACAAGTTTTCAGTAGCATCACTATCTTTAATAACACTTACGTCTAATATATGAAAGACTAAAGTTCAAAGCTGCTAACATTCAGCTTAATTAAATAAAAACAGTCCGTGTGAGTTTAGACTGTAAAAAGTTTGGTGGAACTTCTTCAATGCTTCTGTGACGGTGCAGCAGTTTCCATAGCAACTACAGATGTTGTCTGAGTGGCAGCTTGCAACACAGGAGGAGAGCAGCAGAGACCTCTGACCTCTGACCCACAGGAAGGTGACCCTGACCTCTGACCCCTGACCCAGGTGAGTTCCCGTGTCACAGTCAGGTGCTTTGCCTCAGACATGCACAGAGGCGAGCTACGTGCTAACGGGCTCATTAGCTCCAGCTGTTAGCATCGGTAGCTCGTCGGTTGATGGACGGTTGCTCTCCAACGGTCGCTGGGCGATCGGAGGCTCGGTTTCCTGCCGCTTCTTCCCCCTCAAACACCCGTCGACACATCGGGAGACGAGGAGCGACCCCGGTCCGTGAGCGTGACTTTTCACCCGTTCACCTGTGTCCGCAGCTCAGACCGAAGCTAACAGGTGAGACCGGTGTCCGAGCTCCGCCTGGAAGGTAGACGCAGCAGTTCTCGGTGTTCGAGTTGTCAGAGAGTTGAACCTGATGACTTGTGTTTTCATGTTAGCTAGCAGCTAACAGTTAAAATCAGTTAGTGAGCCTCCACACGAACTGAGCTAACCACAGTTAGCATGGTTTAACATGAATTCATGTTGATCAGACTCTCATGGAGGTTGTGAAAAAGAAATCATAAAGAAATGCGCAGACACATTATCACCATGAAGCAGTTTAACACCCAGCTGAAGTCTTAGTGCTTCAGTTCTGCACTAAAGCTCATTTCATTTCAACGTTGGACATAAATAAATCACATATCATTAAAGAGGCAGAGAACTTTTTTACAGAAGAGTTTCAGGGTCAAGAAATTGTTGAAATTTCATGTTGAGAATAAACTTGAAATAAAATCATTGAAGTCAAACTAAGTCAGAAGATTTTCATTGCACCTGATCTGTAAATTTGAAATGTCGAGAATAAACTGAACCAAAGTATTTGAAATAAAGATGTTTGTTTGATTTTGAGCTGAAATATGAGGAGGTTTGATCCGTTTGACCTGTTTTTTTATTTTAATTATATTGTTTGAAGGTATCACAATCAAACAAAATGTCACGACTCAGCAGTTTTCACCGGGACGCTCGTGATTTCAGTCTGATTGACTAATCCAGTTGTTTCCGTCATTCCAGCTGATGTTGTGACTCTTCCCTCTCTCCATCGCCAGTCTCCATGGTGACCAACGACGACAGCAGCACTCGCCCCAAACCTTCTAGCCTGAGTCACATGACGTCATACCAAACCCCCCTCGGCCCAGGGGATCTCCAGGTGCATTTAAAAGTCTACCAGGTACTATGACCGTGTACATGTACACACACCTGCAATGTTTGTACAATGAAAGTAGCACAACTACACAACTCTGTCAATATTCTGTCAAATCTATGAATCTGTCACATTTTGGTTGGAAAAAGTGTTTATTTCATTCATGGAGCCCAAAATCCACAATTTCAATTTAGATGCGTACACGTGTGACGTATTTAACAAACTTTACAAAGTTTACAGAAGAGGAAAAGGTTGTGGGGGGGGGGAATTTTCAGAGTGAACAGAAATAAATAACAATACTGGAGAAGTAATGGTCATTTTAAAGTTAGTGTTTTGAGTTTTTAACTTGTTCACAGACAGAACAATGTGACTGATTGTTGGGGGGCAGACAGTCGCTCAGGCATGTGTGGGGCTGGGGGGGGGGGCAGTGGCTCCGTCAGAGGGGACAGGGTGGAGGTTCGGAGGGGGATGCTGAAGCAGTGAGGGAAGAACTGATGTGAGTGAAACGGAAAGGTATCAGTGGGAGGGATAGAGACCTGAATGGTGGGATGGGAGGAAGGAGGGAGGGAGGGAGGGAGGAGGGGTGAATGCTACTGCAATGCTGCTCTGTGATTGGCTGCTGCTGGGCCATGTGCTGACCCCTCTCAAACTGTAGCCTAACTAGGGCTCACACACACACACACACACACACACACACACACACACACACTCTGTTGAGTGGCAGGGACATGTGAGCTCCTTCACATTTGCTATTCTGGGCAGGGGAGGGTAAAAGGGGGAGGGAAAAAGAGGGGGTGAAGCCGGGGGAAGCAGAGGGTCTTTTCTCTTTCTGCATGTGGCGGAGCCATCGTGTGGAGCTGCTCATGACTCTGTCTCGTGTTGCGTAGGCTCTGACGTGTGCGGCCGTAGCAGTCTTTTGTTTTACTTCCACTCCAGCCAGGAGAAGATGGGCTGCTGCTTTAGTAAGGAGCTCAACCCCGGCCCGCAGAATGAGAGGAGCAGTTTGTTACAGCCCCCGCTCCATGATGGGCTGAGTGAGGTGACAGAGCAGGTCCGGCAACACGCTGCGGCCGTAGCTCAGCATGTGTGCCTAGAGGGAGAGGAGACCTGTGTGCCAGACGGACCGGCCCGGGGGACACCTCTGGAAGATGAGGACAGACTTCAAGAAGTGGACAGCAAAGTTTATACAAAGGTCACTGTGGCCAACAGGGACAGCACCACCCGGAGTGAGAGGGATCTTAAACCAGTGGGCTCTCAGGAGGAGAAGGAGGCTATTATTATCACAACCAGCACTAATATACATACAAACAGGGACACAGAGGCAGGCGTGGTACACACTCCGAGGCCGAGCTGTGAACCGGCTCCCTATATGGAGGTGCTCACACAGAGTCCAGTCAGACAGACGATTTTGGAGAGTGCCAGAGCTTTATGGGTCAGTCAGCTCCCAGAGGGGCAGAAGCAGCACATACCCGCATGGTGTTCGACTGCTTCCACCAGGTTACCCTCCGCCGACTTCCTGGGAAACGTCACGGTGAGTGAGGTGTCAGGGGACCAGCTGCTGCCGGTCAGTTTGTGTCAGGAGCCACAGCAGGATTCCACCAAAGCTGAGCAGGAAGAAGAAGTCGACGAAGTCTGTGTCGTCACAACACTGTGTCAAGGTTTTCAAACAAGGACCCAGAGCTTCTACAGCATATGTTCCATCGACACAGATGACCTTGAACAAGACCAGGATCACAGCCAAACCCAAACAGCTGGAGTGGCATATTTACTGTGCACAGCTGAAGCACAAACAGCTGCTCTGCCCCGCACAGTGGAGGCTCCAGTCCCCAGCCAATCAAACATCCAGGCATCTACCGTCCAGAGCTACGTCACACAATCTAAAGTGACCTGCCAGTCACATGATGAGGAAGCAGCTTCAACACAGTCACATGCTGCTGAACAATCTTCCCCCATCCTGTCACTTACACACACAGATGAACAGACCTCCTCACCTCAACCTGTTGTTGCTCCACAGCCGGCAGAATCTCTGCCTGACCCGCTGCCCCCATCCATTCGTCACATTAGGGCTGAGGACCCTCAAGTGTCCGCAGCACACAGCCCTCCACCTCAAGATTCTAATTACCTGACAGCTACAAAAGCCACAGACGAACCCAAGGAGGACATGTTGAGTGGATGTGTGGAGGAGGAGAGTGAATGTGTGGAGGAGGAGAGTGAATGTGTGGGGGCATCAGAGGAGATAATGGCTACAGAGGAGTGTCCGTGTTCAGAGGAGCAGAGTGAGGACTTGGAGGAGCACAGAGCAGCAGTGGAAGCTTTTATGGCCACAGAGGAAATGGTTGTCGACTCCCAGGGGAAAGAATCAGATCAGCAGGTGGAGCATCATCTGCCTGAGGAGTACGTCCAAAGTTTAGAACCAGCCACCGAGTCTCCTGAGCTGGATTCCCTCAGTCACAGCCCCAGTTCTTTCACACTTGACCTGTCGCACAAGGAGGAGAATGATGCTTTGCCTCTTTCTGGAGGAAACATTGAAATGGATAAACCCTCCCTGCAGAGCCAGGCCATCCCGGTGAGTATCTGCCAAAGCCACAGTGAGGAGGCTGATGTTGTCCACAGCGACAGCACAGATTCAACTCTTACAGAGCTAACGTCAGTCTCCACCAACTGCACCGTGTCATCACTGCCCGCTGAGCTCACTGCCTTTTCCTGTCACACAGATGTGATACCTACAACCACATCTCAGCAGTATGACTCATCCACATCTGAACATAGTGATGTTAATTCAAACGATCCAACATTTGAACTGAGCAGCATGAAGCCCTCTGGTCAGGAGGCTGAACCTCCGCTGACTGAATCTGTGAGATGTGATGTCAGGTTTGATTACTGTGACATCCAGAGTGACAGCTCTGAAGGTGAGGACGTGTTTGAGTCAGACGAGAGAAGAGTCAAAACAACAGAACCGGAATTTCTTCAGATCTGCAAACCTGTGAAGGAATGTGATGTTACAGTCGATTCAACTGAATCCGGCTCATACACCGATCACCTACAGGAGAGAGACGAACAATGTGACGTGTTATCTGAGCTCTGTACATCTGTAAACACGAGCATCACTGCTCAGGACCCCGCGGAGGCTGAGAGCGGTTTTGAGGATTCATGTCGAAGTTGTCTCACACCGCCTCCTCCTGCTCAGAGCGAGATGTTTGTCGTCACTTCCTCCACTTCACCTCCTTCTTCCTCGTCTCCTTGCACATCCTTTGAGGAAGATGAGCAGAATGAATTCAAAGTAAATCCACTGGAGAAGGTTTCTATATATGAGTGTGGGGGAGAAGAAGAAGTGGCAGCTGCACAGGTGACTGAGTTTTGCCCCCTCTCCTCACCAGTTGAGCAGGAATCTGCAGAAATGTTAGAGCAGCAGATCCACAGTCATCAACCTTCCTCTGAACTCCCAGAAATATTTCCCTCCAGTGTTGGCTCTGACTGTGTGAACCCTCACGCTGATGTCAGCCTGCAGCTTGATGCTAAATGTTTCAGTCAATCTGGAGATTCATCAAATGGAATTCACCTGGAGGGAGTTAGTGAGATGAAGGTTTCACTGGAGGAGGAAACTGCAGAAACCCTCAGTGTTTCTGCCACAGAGACGCCGGAGGGCCATGTCGACACCAGCAGCTGTGAGACAAACACGTTTCCTCATGACATCAGTTTTCAGGACAGAAGTTTGCTTTTGGACCACACCATGATCCCAGTGGACCCTGGTCAGATTGATGCTTATGCCTCAACTCCGTCTTACGAGATTCACTTCCAAAATCATGGACTGCCATTGGCTGCTGAGGAGGGAGAGAGGGAAGGCGGGATGAGGGAGATGGTGTCTGAGCTGCTGGGAGAGCCTGACTCGTCGGTCTGCATCCTCTATCCCCAACACTGGATCCGACTGGGTGTGGAGGACAGCTTTGAGGGCTGGGCTCAGGGGACGTCTGAGGCCAAGGATGAGAACAAGACGGGCGCTGACACAGAGCAGATACCGGCCTCGGTTTCAGAGCTGCAGCCCTCCATGGCTCTGCTGGGAGCGTACCCCTACAGCACCGTGTTGCCTCTGGGGTCGTGTGTGTGGGACTGGCACACAGATTGCACTCAGGCTGTAAGTGTTTGCTCAACATGTGGTGTCACTGAGTGAAAATATTCAGTTTCACATCCAACCCCCAAAGTATTTTGACATGATTCAGTGAGGAAAAGAAAACATGTATGTTCAAACCAAACACGGAGAAGTTCAGGACTTAGCTTCTATTATGAAGAGTCTAACTTAGTCCTCGTTACAAAGATGTAACTCATGGAGTTTTATTAGAACGAGATGAGAGATGATATGACAGAGGAATAAAACACAAAGACTTAGACTTCATGTAAAATAACAAGGTTGAATTAAATTAAATTAAATTAAATGTATTGTCTGTGTTCTGTTTCTTTTAAAATTCTGATATAAGTCAAATTTTCATTTTAGATAAAAACTCTGCACATTTGTGTTTTTTCATGTCAGGAACCCGGTGCTGCTCCAAGCCTTAACCCAGATGCTGAGGTATGGACCAATCACAGCCATCACTTGGACATCAATGGCTCCGCCTACCCTCACCCTGAGCAGCCATGGCTGCAGCACGCTACCGACGTGACCTATCACGAAGGTGGGCCGGATTCACCTGAGCATCAATGCTCGGTGTCATTTGTCCTTTTCCAGGAGTTGATTCGTGATGAAGACAGAAGCAACATTGGTCCATGTCTGTGTTTAGATATGATTATGCTGCGTCGTTAAATATTGGATATTTATTTTTTAGCATTCATGCCTGAGTTCCAGCTGGAGAACATGAGCCTGGTTGATGCTGTGACTGATCCCAGTACACTGGAGTTCCAGACGCTGACCGGTGAAGCACCTGCACTGAATGGAGAGTCCAGCATCCCGTTGGTTTCAGGTGTGAATCTGATTTAGTTGTTTTTAAAATTAGTTACTTAATTCTTCTTCTGTTTTAACACAGTGAAACATCGACTCTGTGACGTCAGATGTTTTAATATCTGCCTTTTTTTTCCAGATGAGGTCAGAGAGGAGCTGAGGACCGTTCTGGAGTCATGTCTGACCAGGTCACAACTCATCTTTCCTCTCACTTCTCTAGAGGAAGTCATGTCATCAAATATTGAGATGGTCACTGACTGTTGTTGTGATTATCACATGTTGTCGAAAATAAAATTAAATGCAGAAAAAACTTTTCACTAGTATGCTGGAAAAGTAATTTTCTTTGATTTGGCAGCAAACCTCTCCAAGATTCCTCTCACCACACCGTCTGTCCCTCCACAGGGAGCACCTCTGCAGCGACCTTTACCTCACATCTCAGATGGACAGCGACCAGTACGTTTCCATCACAACTCTGACCAGCCTCGACAAGATCAAGACTCTCAGCACAGACCTGGACCTCATCTCCGACATCCTGAAATGTCAGTGTTTATTTTTCCTGTTGTTATTTAGGGTGCACATTCATATCCACAAATAGGACAAATATTTCTGGGGTTTAATTACAGACTGTAGATGTGAGAGTGATGGATGTGTTCATGTGTCTGAGACATGTTTTCTCGATTGGGTGGCAGCTCTGCCGCTCGTCCAGTTGGCTCCGTGTGGACAGAAGGTTCGTCCCAGGCAGAGTCGATGTGTCGTCATCCTTCGTGAGATCCCTGACACCACACCTCGTGAGGTGAGGCTCCACCACCCACAACAACACAACCTCATTCCTTCCGTACTCTGGTGTGCAGGGATTCTTCTAATGAAACGTTGTTGTGGGTTGGTGTGATTGACTGACTGTTGTGCAGGAGGTGGAGGCTCTCTTCGATCAGGACAATCTGCCCAAGTTCCTGAGCTGTGAGTTTGTAAGCAACGATAACTGGTTCATCACCTTCAAATCAGAAGCTGAAGCACAGCAGGTAAAATACCAGTGTCTGATGTTCTGATCTTAGAATAATGATAGTTATTCTGTCAGTGACACGTTTCAATCTGTGGACGTCTCCAGGTCTACAAGTACCTCAGAGAGGAGGTGCGGGTGTTTCAGGGAAAACCATTAATGGTCAGAATAAAGGCCAAAACCATGACAGTCCCTTCTTACGCTCCTAAAAATGGCTACAGACGCAGCCAGCTGGAACAGTGCGGCGAACATTACAGCCCCTACTTCCACACAACTACCTACCAACATCCAGGAGGCCCCATGACAGCACCACAGCTGTACGACTTTCCCAGTGAGATGTGGGCCTCAGCTCTGTCAGGATACCACAAACATGCCGAGGTGATGTAGAAACAGATTTGCAAGATTATCTGTAACAGCAACACGTTTCTTCTCTTTGTCACCAAGCTACTTTTTTGCCCTCAGCTTCCAGCAATGAACGATTTATTCAATGGATTTGCTCCAATTCCCAACTTCAAACCTTACAACCCACGCAGGCCGAGGTAGCTACAAGTCCTTCTGTCTGCTTCATTCCATTCAGAACTAAGAAACTTGTTGTACATCTCCTCTTTAAAAGTTAATGTTGGTGTGAGTCTGCGTCGGCCATCGTAATGTTTCATCATTAAATTCCTCCAGGAGAGCCTCGAGGTGGTCAAACTGCGGAGACCGTTGGCAGGTCACTCAGAAAGACTTGTCGGAGCAGAAATCAGCGGCGCGCGCCTCATCTCCTGTGAGGTCAGGACGATCGTGGTCACATGGCAACTTGCGCCACCAGAACAGAGGTGGAAGGACGGAGTCCGGCAAGCAAGCTGCGTCATCCACCTTTGAGCGGGGAAGGTAGAAACTTCAGTGGCGCTACACACTGATACAGTAACTCACATTACTAATGAATGACAGTTTCTTGATGAGAATGATTTATTACAAACTACAAAGTCACTCAGTAGAGTTCTTACCTCCATCATCTTGTGACAAAACTACATTTATATTTACTAGATCTGGATTGTTAATTGGTTCAGCACCACATTTCACACACTCATAAATATAAGTCCTCTAAACTTGAGAAGATCCAATTATTATTCTCTGAGAAATCATAACAGAAAATTCCTGCATCTATTGATATTTAATAGGATCTTACTTGACTCCATCCCTCCACCAAGTTCCACTAAAATCTTTTCAGTAGTTTGTTACCCTGCTGACAGTCAGACAAATGAAATCACGACATCCTCGGTGGAGATAATAAATGTCAGAGACTGACAGCAACGCCTGCAGCACTTTACTCCACCTAATGTCTTTGTTTACTTTGTTCTGGTGTCACAAGGAAATGCCTGATTGTTTCTATTAGTCAAGACTAGATTGAAAAAACTAACAAGTGTAAAGACAATGAAGTTACACAGACAGTAAAAGGAGCTGAAGGTGAATTCAGGTATTTATGTGTGAAGTATATTTGTTGCTGTAGTTACAGTTTTCAGCTGCTGCAGTGTCGGAGGTGAATTATAGAAGTGAACGTTTGCTCTGAGATGCTGCACCTCCACATAATTACAGTTCTTAAAAGGTGCAGGTCCGTCGCCCCCTGTGCCCTCAGACACATTAAGAGTTCAGGAGGTGGAGTGGTGCTTTGATGCAATCGTATTAATCAGGTTTCACTCAGAGCTGCAGTAACTTCACCCTCTGCTCCGTCTCTCTGCTCTAAAGGAGAGGAAACGGCCACAGGAGGAGAGACAACCCAAGGCCATGGGACAAATCTGGACACAGTCATGTAAGTGGCCACTGTTCATTCTTTGGTGCTTGTTAGAGTTTATTTTGAGACTCTTTATTTACTATGTGCACGTTTGTGTAGAATCCACAGAGTCAGTCACCTCCTCGTCAGCCGTCTCCTGCTCTTGAGCTCGGGTTGATGAGCTTCCCTCCTCTTCCTCCTGCTAACGGCAACAGCAAGGTAACTGAGCCTCTGTCCGTCTGACGCACAAACACTTCCTGTTTACATACTTGAGTTCGAGGCAGTGTGAAGTCACAAACCCAGATTTACAAACCCTAACAGCTGAACTGTTTTCGATGATCTCAGGTTCCACTCAAAAGCAGCAGCTCAGTTTCACAAGAGCCTCAGTCGGTCCCACAGCCGTAAGTATCTTCAAAACAGCTCTGGTTCATTTTCCTCAAGGTTCATTATTGTATGATTGTGTCTACAGCCACAGCAGAAGCTCCTCCAGTTGTTTTCCTTTTCCGTGTATCAAGTTATTCCCTGTGTCGTCGCACGTTGTTCTGTTGTCGTGGTGCCACTGATATCGTTCTGCTCGTCTCCATAGGAACGTGAAGGAGAGTGCAGAGACAACAAGCGAGGCCAAACCCACTCAGCTCCCACAGGAGCCAGTCACAGTAAGACGTGTCCAGCTACAGATTTGACTCAATTTGAAAAGGCACATTTCAGCTCAACACATTTTTCAGTCTGTCCTGTAGTTTGAACAATGTTTTTAAAAACCCTGATATAAATCTGACAGTTGAATTTGTTTAATGGAAGGAGGGAATGTGGGGTAGGATTACAACTGGAACAGAAATACAAATCTAGAGCTGAGAATTACGACAACTCAGTTATTAGACTATGATAAATTATCAGTTTCATAATGTTAATAATTTAATTTGATATTAATAATCTGAAACAAACTTAAAGTTGTACTTAAAGAGGCTTTACAGTCCAAAACAAGAAGAACAAATCTAGAGATATAAACTCATAACAGGTACGTTTTGAGATACGATCTCCAATAGAGTGGTCAAGAGAAAGTATTTAGTATTTTTATTGAAAAGCAGTTGAGATCCACTTGACGAGCACTCCGCTGTGCTTGAGAACCATTTGTGTGCTGTTGAGGAAAAGGTGTGACCGACACTGACCGCGTCTTGTGCTCTGATTGGACAGGAGTTCAAAAGGCTGAGCTACGCACAGATTTGCCAGAAAAAATCCAGCGATGATCTGATCCGAGCCGCTGACCCTCTGCAGACGTGAGCAAACCCTACGACGGCGAGGCCACGCCTCCGGTTCCCAGCTCTGTTACCACGGTGACCAGATACGATGCAGCGAGAGACCTCAGGGATTTTTTTTGCGTCTTTTTTTTTTTTTTTTTTTTTCCAGGTGAACGTTTTACAGCACTTTGCTCTTTGTACCAACAGGCAGCGTTGAGAAGAATCCACACTGCAGGAGGATTGTTGCAGATATTTCATTTCATACTGAACACAGCGTTTAAATCTGGAAACTGCCGCCCTGATGGGTACAGGTGGGGGCGGGGCCTTACTGCTTTAGGGCAG